CTCTCCCCAGGGTTCTCGGGCCTCACGGGGCCTCAGTTTCCCAATCTGTACTCTGGGGGTGTTGGGCTTAACCTCTAGAACGTCTGTGCCGGCAGTTACCGTCTTCAGTTCTGCCCCTTCTTTCCTTGGGGCAAGTCACGCGTCTGGGCCTCCGTATCCCCGTCTGCACACCTGGGTGTAGCACCTGCTAATGAGCTCAGCAGGGGCGAGCACACAGTAGGTGCTCAATCTCACTGCCGTCAGTGGCATCCAACTCACGGCAACCCTGTAGGACAGCGCAGAACCACCCCTGTGGGTTTCCGAGACGGTGACTCTTGATGGGGGCAGAAAGCCTCGTCTTTCTCCTAGGGAGAGAGTGGTGGCTTCTAGCTGTTGGCCCCCAGGAGTTTAGTAGTCACGTTATTTCTCAGTCCCTTACACCCTGGGCCGCCTCCTCCTGGTAGCCTTTGAGCTAAGAGAGGCTGTGGCTCCCTATGGTCTGCATAAGCCCCTTCCCCGCCCACCCCCCACAGCAGGCCTACTGCCTGCCATTGCTCAGAGGTCAGGGCCCCCGCCTCCCAAGTCCCAGAGCTGGTACAGAGGCTGCAGATGCCACCTGCTGCCTCAGCCTTGCTGCTGGCTCCCCCATGGCTCCCCGGAGACCCCTGGGGCCACCCCCAGCACAAACAGTGAAAGTTAACGGCCAAACATTGGGGTGGGGCTGGGGGTGGAGGTGGGGGGGTGGGCAGGGCAGCCCAGCCCAGTCCAGCAGTTTGAGCATCCCTGGTTCTCTGGAGACCTGGGGAGGGCGGCTGAGAAGCCTCTAAGCCTGTCCCTGGCTATTGTGCAGGGAGAAAAAAGGAGCGTGGTTGGCGGAGGGTGGGAATGGCTGAAGAATAGCGCAGGCTCCGGGGCCGGCGAGAGAGTGCCGCGTTCCAGGGTTTACTCTCGGCCCAGATGCAGGAGCGGCGGCTTCCCAGTGACCTGCAGGAGGCTCCCTTTCGCCGAGGGGGAAACTGAGCCTGGGAGGAGAGGCAGTGGCTTGTCCAGGGGTGGAACAGCTAGAGAGGCGCAGCCCACTGTCCCAGCACCTGTTCTCTGCACCTGGGGCTCAGCGGGCATGGCTACATGGCCCTCTGAGTCGGACAGGCTCAGGTGGGAGGCTCCGCTCACTGACTGTGTCCCTTAAGCTGCCCAGATCTAAGCCCTGCCTGCTTTCCGGGCCTGTCACTGAAGGCACCATAATGACATGCCCCTTGTAGGGGCTTGGCGAGGCCTTGCGGGCAGGGAGGCTGGCCCAGAGCATGCTGGGTCGCAGGCAAGAAACCACCAGTTCCGTGCTCCACTGCCGTTCTGTTGTCTGGCCTCCCCGGTAGCCTCGAGAGCCCCTAAGAAAACAGCCCAGGAGGTGAGTGGACAGGGCAGGTTTCTACCAGGCTGGGCAGGCAAGACAATTCTGGGCCACAGGAGTTCTGGGGGTGATCGGTTCAAGCCTGCTTCTCCACCCTGCCTTCCTCCCCAGCTGGTCAGTGGGCAGCCCAGGCACAGCCAGGCCACCACGTAAGCTCCCTGCCGGCCCTGTCCCGCCTCCAGAGAGGGGAAACCATCAGCCAAGCTGGCCCAGGAGTAAGCGTCAGAGACCCCGGGGTCTCTGGTCTGAGCCAGGCCCGGGAATCTGCATTCAGGGCATCCCCTTCTGCACATTCGCCACCCCATCTCCTGCAGAAAGCTGGACTCCTGAGTATCACTAAACGGCTGTAACTACGAGATGTCTGTCTCACAGTTGGCACGTTTTATGGACGTAATCCTCACCGCAGGGGAGGGCCACGCCGTTGTAGCGAGGAGGAAGCCGAAACTGAGGAATAGGGCATGTGTGGAAATGGGTCCTGCATTTGACCCCAGAGCAGTTGCCCCTGGTGCTTTTAGAGGTGGCTGGGGAGCAGCCAGGAGCCCTGGTGGCGTAGTGGTTACACAATGGGCTGTACTACAAGGTCAGCAGTTCGAAACTGCCAGCTGCTGCTCTAAGGGAGAAAGAGGAGGCTTTCTCTACCTGGAAAGAGTGCCAATCTCGGGACCCCACGGGGGCAATTCTCCCCCCATCCTACAGGTCGCCACGCATCGGGACAGACTCGAAAGCAGGGAGGAGGCAATGAGGAGCCCTAGTGGTACAGTGATTAAGTGGTCAGCTGCTACCAGAAAGACGGGCGATTGAAGCCCCACCCTTGGTGTCTGCAGGAGAAATATGGGGCAGCCTGCTTCCCTACACACACGCACACGCACGGACACGCAAGGCAGCTTTGGAAACCGTCCGGGGCCACTCCCCACCTGCAGACTCGCTGTGACTCTGAACTGACTCACAGGCAACGCGTCCTAGAGAAGCCACAGGATCTCAAAGAGGAGACGAAGCCAAGGCAGGGTGCAGTGTAGCACTGATGGAATATACAACTTTCCTCTAGGTCTTTAATGCTTCCTGCCCCCGCCCCACTAGCATGATCCCAATTCTACCTTACAAATCCAGCTAGACCAGAGCATGTACACGGGTACAGATAAGAGCTCGCAACACAGGGAACCCAGGACAGATAAAGCCCTCAGGCCCAATAAGGAGAGTAGTGATACCAGGAGGGGAAGGGGTAGGTGGGGGGAGAAAGAGGAAATTGATCACAATGATCTATCTATAACCCCCTCCCAGGGGGATGGACAACAGAAAAGTGGGTGAAGGGAGACATTGGAGACATGAAATAATAACAATAATTTACAAATTATCAAGGGTTCACCTAATGCTGGGGCCTTAAGTGGAGAGGAAATGATTTGAGAATGATGAGGGCAGTGAACGTACAAATGTGCTTTACACAATTGATGTGTGTATGGATTGTGATAAGAGTTGTATGAGCCCCTAATAAAATGATTTAAAAAAATTATCAAGGGTTCATGAAGAAGGGAGGGTGGGGGAAGGGGGGGAGAACAAAAACAAGGAGCTGATCCCAAGGGCTCAATTAGAAATATCTTGAAAATGAGGATGGCAACAATGTACAAATGTGCTTGACACAATGGATGCATGGATGGATTGTGATAAAAGTTGTACGAGCCCCCAATAACATGATTTAAAAATAAATAATAATAAAAAGAAGCCACCGGGGCCTTGGCGGTCGCAAGTCCTTTCGGCTCCACTGGTTCAGCCGAGGGTGGGCAATTCGAAGCTGCTCATTGGTGCCAAGGAAGAATGCCCTGGTGATCTCTTTCTGAACACCGAGCCATGGGACACCCCAAGAACACATGGACTCTTTATGCCTCGGGTCACCGGGAGCCAGAGCCAACTCGGCAGTAGCACTGGGCACGACTTAAACCCGTCTGGTGCTGGTGACACATTGTGCTCAGAGAACGGAAACGGCGCCCATTCCGTCTCCTCCCCTGGGTGCCAGGGTCTGCCAAGGTGCTCTCCGTGGCAGAGGTGGGTGAGGGGCTGATATGGAGGGGTGTTCTAGAATGCAGTGGCCCACCCCCCACCCCCACCCCAGCAGGCTCGGCAAATAACGGTTTGACTTTAGATTTAAGCAGCAGCCTCTAGTCTAGGTCCTTGGAGAGCAACCTCGTCTAATTGTCCATGAATCACAGTGGCCACAGAGCCCTAGAAAACAGGGTCAAGGCTTAACCCTAACCCTAATCTAAGGCAATAGCCTGTTCTTCCTGGGCCAGCAGTGACCTGCCCCAACTCTGTAGTCTGGGCTGTTTCACCCTCAACCCAACGGGTGGTGCTGGCCCTGCAGACAGGGTTTTGGGAACCAGGCCAGACTTCCACAGCTCAAAGGAGGGTAGGTAGGAGGGGGCCCCAGTTCTTTCCTTAGCTCCCTCCCCACTCCTGGTGGCCACGTGACCCTGGACAGTGCCTATCGCTTCTTGGGGCCCCTGTTTCCCCATTTGTAAAAGAAGGGGGCTGGGTTACCCCCAAAGGCCTTTCCAGTTCTGAGGCTGGGTGACAGAGAGGGGGAGAAGCTCAGAAGACACCCCCCCCCAACCCCCCTCACTTGCACTTTGCTTCACCCACTCAGAAGACGAGTCTTCATCAGTTTGCCATGTCCACAAAGGAGACTTGGAAACAACTTAACAAAGGCCGACATGGAGTCATTTCAGAAACGAGGGACTCCATGTGTGTCCGAACAGAATTGGGCTCCGTGGGATTGTCAATGGCTGGGGTTTTTTTGTTTGTTTGTTTTTTTTAAGGATTGCCAGGCCTTCCTTCCAAGGTTCCCCCTGGGTAGATCTAAACCCCTAACCTTCTCAGTGAGCAGGCAAGCCTGGGAACCACAACACTACTCAGCCACCCCAGAAGAGACTTTTAAAGGTCATTATCACTTAACTGAAGGGGCATTGAGTCCCAGAGAGGATAATGGACTTACTGGAAGTCATACAGTCGAGGTTTGAAAGTTCTCAGAACTTTCCAGAACAGCCAAGGAGGACAGAAGGCAATTCCCCCTCATAGAGTTTTCGGAGGACCATTTTCTAGAGCCCCCCCCTTTAGAGCCACTAATAACTCACTACCTTTAAGCTTGTTCCTACCTATAGCCACCCTAGAGGGCAGGGTAGAACTGCTGCCCCTGTGGGTTTCCAAGATTGTAAATCTTTAGGGGCCAGAAAGTCTCATCTTCCTCCTGTGGAGCTGCTGCTGGTATCGAACTGCTGGCCACTGGGTTAGCATTCCAGCGTGTCACCAGCTCCCTGGGCCACCTGGGCGGGCTCTCGCAACAACTGCTATTGTCATCAAACAGCCAGGCTCCAGCCCAGGAGGGGACCGTTCCTTCCAGGAACAATGGACTGTAAGTGCTCACTGGCCCACTTCCCCAGGGGGTCATGAGCCTAGACGCCACAAAAAGACCCCTTTGGAAATCAGGACTTTACAGCTGTCCGGCAAAAAAAAAAAAAAAATCCCAGGATCGCGGGCAGATTCAGAAGCCGTAAGCAGTACCAGAAACACTTGAAACGCTTTCAAAACAGACAACAGACTTTGTTGTGATGGAAACCCTCACCTGTATTCCTGTGGAGAGGGGTGGTGGCTTTGCCCTGAGTTTTGAATAATTCCTGCCATTCTGGACGAGGTGTCACTTTCTATCATGTCCTTGGAGGAAAGACAAACAGGGAAGACACACAAAACAAACGCTGCAGTCAGCAACAGGGGGACAGAGCAGAAAACCTGCCGCCTTCTCCCTCCTCCGAAGGGCAGGGCTCCAACAACCAGGGATACTTAAGGGAAAAAAAGAAGAAAGAAGTTCTAGAGGCTTATCTGGGCGTTCGCAGGCACTTTCCCAGGGAAATCCTACCAGGCTTGAGGAGGCAGGAGATGCAGACCCAGAAAGCCGGGTCTCAGGAAATGTGGGCTTGCCACACGGGAGTCAGAAAACCCCTATAACCTTCCCGGGTCTTCTGGGACGCATAGTTCAGTTATGATTACTGTAGAAACTAAAAGCAACACCCTCCCTCCCCCAAAAGGGCAGTTGGATGGGCCCTATATATTTGGGGTGGGGGTGGGAAGCAAGCAAATTCCTACTGGTGTAGAGAAAAACCGCTGCATATGCCACCAGACGTGTCGCACACCCTTGTAGGGCATCCCGTGCAACCCTGCCTAGGCCACTCAAATGCACGGTCTTAAAAATAATTTTTTAAAAAATGGAGCCCTGCTAAATGTCTCCAACCGCGGACCTGAAGCGGACGCGAGAGCTCCCTGAAGGGAGGCTCTCAGCCTGTCTCAATACTCATTCTTGGGGTCCCGGGGAGAGGGGAAGGGGCGCGGGGGAGACAGTCCACGCGCCCTGGGATTGTGCTTGGGAGGTGGGGAAGGCAGCCCTGCAGGCTAGTACCTGGAGCCGATCCTGCCCGCCGCCGCCGCTGCAGGCGCCTCTGGGGCGCGCCGGCCTCTAGCAGAGGGGCTCCCTGGCGCTCGCCCCTCGCGGTCCGTAATTTGGCCGCCGTCGCAGCACGAACCGTTTTTAAATTTCCCTCTCAGGAGCTGTCCAGCTCAGAGCATGCGCAGTAGCAGTGCCGGGGCGTGGTGGGGTGGGGGCGCTCCCCCCACCCCCTCCACCCCAGGGTCAGTTACGGCGCAGGGTCAAGGGGATTGCAGAGGGTGTTTCCCAGCAGCCTCGAGGCTTGCACGCTCAGGGGCTGCGAAGTGGAGGTGCAGGGACTCCCCTCTGCAAACGTGGCCATCTCACGGCCTGCACGCTTCGCGTGCCAGCGTGGAGAGTTAGTGGAGGGTGACTTAGTCCCCAAGGAATCAGTTGCAAAAGGATGCTGGGTGCATTGCACTTGTACTCAGGCCCGTCCGGAGTCCGGCGGGACAAGGTGGGCGGAGAGACCCACCGCAACCCTTCTCCCCCCC